AAAGCTAAATGGCTTCGCCATTTCATTGAAGATTTGCCACGTTGGTCTAACCTGTGCCAGCTATTTGTATTCATTGTGATAGTCAATCTGCAATTAGTATGGCACAGAGTTATATGTATAAAGGAAAGTCTAGACATATCCATCGAAAACATAATTTCATTCGACAACTACTCTCAAATGGAGTTGTTTTTATAGACTATGTAAAGTCTAAGGACAACTTTGCGGATCCGCTAACCAAAGGGTTAAATCGAGTGTTAGTCAAAACGTCGTCAAAAGGAATGGGGTTAAGGCCTTTGGAAGTTACCGGAATGGAAACCCAACCTAGTTGACTGGAGATCCCAAGATCTAGGTTCAATGGGACAACCTAATTGCGTGTAACGGTGGTATGTCACTGAGGAGGTTAAACCTCCAGCCATTCTATTAGTGATACCTGCAAGTGTAGAGGTTAAGCTGACCTTTTAATGACTCTAGTGTGTTAAGTTGTTGAGCTGAGTATAGCAGGATACTCAAGTAGAGTCACCTATATAGCGATCCCGGGTTTACCCTTGTGTGCAGTGATCCGGACATGTGTCCATGGATGTTGGTAGTCGATTATTATCTTGTTTACATCCCTTTTTACTTTGTAATTGAGTTATGGGATGTGTTGGGCGGGTTTGTTTCAGGTTGGTTGAGTTTAGAAACCAAAACTAGTTGCCCAGATTTTTGGCCTGTACGCTCGAGCTGGGGTTTTGGCGCTCGAGCGGAGATTACACCCATTCAGTATTTTCCTGTGCAGCGTTGTACGCTCGAGCGTAGAGTTGTAAGCTCGAGCGGAGGCCTGGTTTTGTATAAATGCTGGGAGAGTGCATCCGGCGCTCGAGCGGAAGTTAGGACGCTCGAGCGGGAGTCTGTGAGTGACGCTCGAGCAGGGTGTTTTACGCTCGAGCGGGAGACTGGGTTTAAGTCCCGAAATTGTGACTTTTCAAATCACTTTTTACTTTCTCTTCTCTCTCTTACTTTTTCCAAAATCACCATTGTTGAACCTCTCACTCTAGACTCTACCTTCTCTCTAGGTTTTGATCTAGTAGGAGTGATTTGCTCACCTTTGGCCTTTACAAAAAAGTGGTTGATCGTCGAGGGCTTCATTTTAATCTGAAAATCTCGGGTTTTGGAGCACGTTGGGTTTTGTCATCTTCTCCTTTGGGACTCCGAATTTGAGGTAGGGATATCCTACTCCTCTCTATGGATTCTGTCTTTAAATTTTGGTATTTTGAGATGTTGGGGTTGGTTTGGTAATTTGGTGAAAGTTTGGGACTTTTGTGAAATTTTACAAAAGTTGGGGTTTTATTTATAATAAACCTAGATGCATGTTTGGCATAGAGAAATGGAATAAATGTTAAATCATTGAAGAAAATGGGACCTAAGGGTTGAAATGTTAATTATGGGAATTGACCTAATTACAATGTTTAATTAATTGGGATAGTTAATTGAGAAGAATGAGGGAATGAATGTTGATTGAATATCCATTTGTGCATTTATTTTCTGTTTAGAAATAACTGCTTTGGGCTATCGGTGGAGGATAGTCGTGATTGTTGTAGACAATGCATGATGATTAGGCAAACGGGAACTAATCAATGAAGTGTGTCATGGAATTTGACGGTTGATAGAATACATTAACTGTATGTATTGTGTGATGGTATATAGAACAAATGAATGAGTTTCACACTTGTGATTTGGATTAATCTTGAAAGATGGTATGCTATCTAATTTGATTAATCTACGCAAAGAATCAAAATTTGCATGACTACTTTACCATGCCACAATTCAAGGGACTCAAGTAAATAAGCAGAAGAGGAAGATTTCTCATTCATTTGTTTTTTGGGGATAATAGTCATTACATTGAGCTTAAACATACCGCCCAACATATACCCCTTGCCTACATAGACTTCGCTCTTGGTCAACACAAATTTATCAGACTCAAACACCATGCGGAAGCCATGCTTGCTTAGGAGAGATCCCGAGACAAGGTTCTTATGAATGTCAGGCACAAATAGGACATCGTTTGGAGTTAGTTCTTTTCCTGAAGTTAAGGCACCAAAACAGGTTTGGTCCAAACAAGTTACTTTGAAGTCAATAGTCTTACTGTTAGGAAACACAGATCCAGTGTTCAATAATTTACTATTTGGAATTTCATATTATGGTCAGTAGTCTTATCACTAGGAATCACTAATTTCTTAGCATGTGGTCACTAGACTTTTCACTGCTAGGAATCACAATATCTTGACGTGTGATCAGTAGTCACTCCACTATTAGGAATCACAATGTCTTGACATAGGATCAGTAGACTCTTTCATTACTAGGAATCATCATGTCTTGACGTGTGATCAGTAATCTGTTCACTGCTAGGAACCACAATTTCATAATTGTGTAGCCAGTGGTCTCCCTAAGAACCACCAGTTTTTTTCTGTCTCTGTGATCAATGATCTTGCACTCACTAGGAGCCACCAATTCAAGAATATATTCAGAATTATAAAAATTCAAAAAATACATTCACTCACCCTAACGGGTTGTCTCATTTTTGCTCTTAAGTAAAGTCACATAGCAATCATATATGCTAATCCAAGGATAACATACTAATTGCCTCTGAGTAATTTAGAGATATTATCATGCAATCTTATGATTTCTTTTAATCACATTTGATCTCTCTAGAACTTCGCAAGGCTTAAGATTGTCAGGTGGAACAACATTTTCTGTTGTCACCTCTTGAAGCCAGTTCTGAAAAATCACAATAGAATTTCACTATTATGTTTTTTTCCCAGAAACTTAACACCAGAAAATTCCGAAATTTGAAATTTAATTTAGAACTGATCTCACCACTTACCCTAGAATTGAACATGGTCAGAAAAGTTTCCAGAAAGACTGGAAAGGTCACACTGGTCCCACTTAAGACCCAGTTAACCTTAGACAAGACTTTCAAGAGCATGTTGACTCCTAGTCCATGGGAAACAAATTTAGAATTAAGTTTTTCAAGGGATAAACTAGGTTAAAACAAACCAAGCTACAAAATTTACAAGCAATTAAAAAATTACTATCAGAATTGCACCACTCATAAAAGTTAATTGGTACTTCCAGAACTGAGCTCATTATTTCTGTATAAAAATCAAAAATATTATAGCTAATGATAAAAATTGGTTTATTTTCCCAAAACAAAACACTTTAGAAATAATAAGATTATAACTAAAGACTTTACCAATACTTGATTTTCTACCACTTTGGGAATAAATAGATTAAATCCAAAGACTTCCTTTAACCACAAAGGTTTGAAACCAAATACATCTTAGTTGCCATTTCTAAATGTAAATCAGAAATACTCTTTAGCCAAGGCTAAACTTTGGTTTCTATTATAGAAAACCAAACCACTTTGGGAATAATAAAATTAATCCCAAAGATTTTCTCTAAACCGGAAGGTTTATAATTTCTTTCGTTCCCCCTTTCCTTTCACTAAGGTGAAACTATTACAAAGTAGAAATCAAACTACTACTAAAACACAAGCAACAAATTGCTTCAAATATAAAGAAAAGTAATCAATCCAAATCAGGATTCTTTTGGTCCAAAAATCCTTTTCCACGCTTAGGTATTTCTGTTCAACAAAAATGTTAGTAGTCCAACTATTGGTTTTACAGTCCCAAATTCTATTCATTTGGTTTTGTTTTGTTTTTTTTTTTTCCCCATTCCCTTCCGCATCTGTATTTCTGTAAAGAAAGTTGGTAGAGAACCACAAGAAAATACAAAACAAATAATTGAAAAAAAAACTATAAAAGTAATAACTTATTTTAAACCTTCTAGCAATCTACTTAATAGCAAAATGAAGTAAAGAATTAAAAAGCTTTACGAGTTGCACAATAAACTTATAACTCAAAAATTAAATTAAAATTTAATAGCCAAGAGTTATATATAATTACCTAGCAATAAAATCATGCAAATAATTCTAGAAATAAAATCATGCAAATAATTCTAGAAATAAAATCATGCATAATTTTTTAGGAAAGTCATGCTCAAAATCTATAACATGCAAATTAAACTACAAATCTAGAAAATAATGAACGTGTATATTATACTAAAAAAGTAGAACAATAATAAGAATGTCAATTTAACTAAAAAATTTAAACACTTATGAGCATGCAAAATTATATTATAAAATAAAGAAGCATGCAAATCATGGTAAGAAATTAGGAATCTAAACATGTAGCATGTGTCTATTTGTCCAATTTCATGGGAAATATATAATCTGTTTTAAGATTGTTGTACAAATTGTGTAAATTAAATAAAATGAATAGATTCATAATTAATTAAATTTATATTACATAACAAGAAATCATGAATCTAAATCATGCTGGAGACTACAACTTGATGAACAGAAATATTTAACAAAATCAAATACTTAAATAAGATAGTAAAGAAAATAAGCCGAAGCTTGTGTGATACCACAGTCCCCTTAAAGCAGATTTGCCGCCTCACTGTGGGTGCTGGAGGTATGTCGGCGTCTGTCTCCCAGGATACGACGCTTTAGAACCCGCTAATGCAGAAGCACCTTCTGCTCAGCTCCGTCGAACTGACAATGGTAGCACTCTCTCACACAGGAAGAATATATTATAGGAGTAGACTGACTATAATATGGGAGCAAAAATTTTTGTACTTCAACCAAAGAGGATGTCTCCTTTTATACACAATGGGGAGGAGGAGAGAACTTAGCTTATTTTGTGATCATTTTCACAATGTTGAGCATGTCCTTATATAGGCATCTTTGGCAAGACATATGGCAAGGCCATGTGTACGTCATGGCTTCCAAAACCATGTGTCTGTTATGGTTAGGCCATGCGTGCCACATGGTTTCCAACATTAGGCCACACCATGTATACCATATGGTTTCCAGCATTAGGCCATTCATCCACACATCCATACCACATGTTAAATGCACAATCATCATTCTCAATCTCTCATTTATGAGACCAACTTAATGAAACAATTTTTCATTCAATCCTCAAACAAAAAAACCATATTTTCCAACAAACAGTACCATGTTTGAGGAGAAGGCTCAGAGAATATCGGAAGCTGCAATAGCATTGAAGGACGAAGCAGCAAATGCTTGGGATAATGTTAATTCTACGCGCAATACGATTCAAGAGATTGTGAATGAAGAAACTGTTGCTCAAGAAGCTGTTCAGGAAGCAACAATGGCCCTTTCTTTGGCTGAAGCGAGGCTTCAAGTGGTAGTGGATTCACTTGAAGCTGCGAAAGGAAGAAAGAGTGATTTAGAATATGAAAGTGGAGGCGAAGAATCGAATATATTGAGGAAAGATGAGGAAGCAGTCTTGGTTGCTCGAGATTTATGAAGCACGGACACCTCTTCGGAGGCAACGTATGGGTGTCGGACACGTGTCGGAAACGGACACGGACACGAGTCGGACACGTGGCCGACACTCTACCTAATGTGTCCCCCATTTTTTTTGAATTTTTGCAGCCAGACACTCTTTTGGACACTCTTGGACACGTTATGGACATGTTGAAAACAGAGAGAAACCCTAACCCAGGAGACAGAGAGAAAACCTAACCCATTGAAGACAGAGAAAGAGAAAGGGGAAGAACCTATTAACGCCCTAGATCGAGGCTAGGTCGAGGTATGTTCTTACAATTTGTGTATGTTTGACTCTCTCTCTCTCTCTCCCTCTATTCGGTGCTCTCTGTTCATCGTCGAACCTGTTCATCTTCTTCGACTATCCCTTTTCCTCTGTTCGGTGCTTTATTCTTCGTTTCTTTCGTATCTCTCTCTCTCTCTCTCTCTCTATGTTCATCTCTCTTGTTTGCTCTCTCATTTTTTATTCGACTCTCTCTCCCTCTTTTATTCTTTATTTCTTTTTCTTTTTTTTACCTTTTTTGTTTTTAGTAATAAATTTTTTTCTATATTTTTTAATATTCTTGTTTGCTAAACATTAACATATAGAATAAATTATTTTTATTTGTAGAAAAAAATTGGAAATGATATTTAATATTAAAGTAAATAAATAAATAAATAAATAATTATATGTATTGAGCATGTCCCCAATGTGTCGTGTCCCTTATTTTTTTAAAATTTGAGTGTCCACATGTTCGCGTCGTGTCCCGTGTCCGTATCCGTGCTTCATAGCTCGGGATGATATTAGAGTTTGTCAAGCTACTTTGACAAATTTGGAGGCAGAGCTGAGACAATTGTAAAGCAGAAAAGAGGAATTGCAAAAGGAAGTGGACCAGCTATGAGGTTGCAAAGCAAGTGGAAATGAATGCTTTAAAAGCGGAGGAAGATGTGGCAAATGTCATGCATTTAGCAGAGAAAGCTGTTGCTTTTGAACTTGAGGCGGCACACGTCACTATCCAAACTCGTCCCTATAGGTTTAGCGTCGTAACCGACCAGTAATCCTGGGATTACCAAAGGCCTCTGAATAGATCATCACATAATAAGGGGCTGCAGAAGCAAATATAAAACATACATAGACCATTGAGCTGTGCTGACATATATGGGACAAAAATTTAAAACTCATATACATATACCCACATATGACGTCATATACATATCCAGCTTACATCGTCAACCATATACCACAAAAGAGCTGTTCTTTAAACAAACAAAAGAAAAAAATTAAACTTGCATCATGTTCACAAAACTTGACCTCTTGACTTTTAACGGAACCTCCTCGAGAGGCACAAAGGTTGGCCGAAAAAACAGAATTCTAAGCGATCATCATTGAGCCTGGCCACGCGCCTGGTCTCCTACATATATAAATAATACAGTGAGCTGGAGCCCAGTGAATAATAACAGAGTAAAGGTTTTAATGAATGATGCCTATAACAGATTCAGAATTCAGATTCTTATTCAGAAGCAGATACATATTCATATTCATGTTCAAAGTTCATACATTTCACATGATCATACGTAGTATATCCATTAGCGTTAACAAATCCGATGACCCATGAAGGGACGGCCATAAAGGCATTCCCATAAAGGAACGGCCATAAAGGCATTCCGATGACCCATAAAGGAATGGCCATAAAGGTATTCCGATGACTCATGTGCATAGAGACGTTTCCGATGATCTATAAAGACATTCTGATGACCCATAAAGGGACGCATGTCATATGATGCTAAGGATGCCACAAATACATTTTAGAAACTTGGACAATCATTCATTCATACAAAACATAGTATTTCAGAAAACTGATCATTTCATATCATCAGAAAATAATTAAAGTTAAACATAACTTTACAGAGTTATTACTCACAGATAACTTCGATAGCAGAACAAATGGATCAAACAGCTTACGGCGCGTGACCTACACAAACATGGAACGGATTCACATATTGAAACACACACTCGGATAGTACTTAATTTATTTCGTTTCGTTCTTAGTGTGTTTCTAGCCTTTATCCTCATTATTATGTCTTAATTAGGGCTTAGGAATGCCTAAGATGCAACGAGGATGCCAAAATAAATTTTGAAACACTTAGTCAAATTTTCAAAAATAGGACAGTTTGCTGAAGCGCAACATTGGTTAGTACAAAAACATGTTGAATTTTTCAAACTATATGAATCATGTCAACCGCTCGAGCAACCAATGTTGAATTTTGGTAAAATGAGATGGTTAGTACAAAAACATGTTGAATTTTTCAAACAGAACCAAAACATGAACATGCATGCAAGAATTCCTTGGAAACAACTTCAAAATGATGTGATATATGAATGCATGTATGGCATTAGCTCATTTCTTCCATGATTGACATGATTCTAACTTGTTCTCTTCACTTTCATGCAATTACCTCTACATGACTCATGAATTCACCTCCTATGTACTTTATTTCCAAAAATCAAAGGAGGAGTTCATACCTAATGTGGGGATTCAAAGGATTCAAGCTTAATTCTCCAAGTCTTCTACTACTCTCCTTTCAAGTCCCTTTTCTCCAAATTTTGGATCTCAATTCTTAGTCACTCTCCCTTTCTCATGTTTGTGTGTGTCCAAGAGTCAGAAAAATGAAGTCTAAAAGGCATACACAAGCCTTATATAAGCTAATTAAGGGACTTAATTAAACTTAGCTTAAGACTAGTTAATGACAAGTACTTTATTCTAATTATTTCGTTCTGAATCAAATTTTCATTAAACTAACTATAAAATCCAAAAATACTCAATTGCACAGAAACTTAGTCAATTTTGCATTCGATATCCAATAAGGCTGTCAATTCGCAAAACAGAATAGAAACACAGACAGATATTTCTATGACTGACAAATACAAACACAAATAACACAATTCACATGCAATCAACTCAGAATTTCTTCTTAATTACTTATTAGGCATTCTTAATCAAAGATTAAGGTAAATCACAGGTCGGAGTTGTTACACTCGCAAAGAAGGTTACTTCCATATAGATAAGCATTTTTTTAATAAAAAAAATCAAATGGTAAAATAGTTATAAATGTGAAAAATATTATATAAAGAATAATTAAAGTTCAAGAAACTTTCACCAAGTCCAATAGCTATATAAACAAACAATCACATACAACTTTCATAATGATAGATAAATAAACACCACAAAATATATTAAACTCTCTATAGAAGTTGAAGGGTGTTACACAAAACTAGACCAAAATCCCTGGTCACCATATTTAACTAGGGATGGCAAAATGCCCCAATCCGTTAGGTGGACTCTCCCCGACCCTAATGGGATGGTTTTTTTTTTTTTTTTTGGGGGGGGGGGGGTTAAAATTATTTATTGTTTTTAAAATATTGCTATGAATGGGACAATTGAAATTAGTTGACAGTTGTTACTGATTTTAGATTTTTATCATCAATTATTTCTGGTAACAGGATTTGTGAACATTTATTAGATTTCTATATCTGATACAAAAGTTTATTTTTTGATTTATGACAGGATTGCCTTTTACACCAATCGGGTGGAGAGAATTAACCAGCTATTTCTACAACCAGACATCATTACCGCTGGTGTCAACGAAGTCTCATCAAATACAAAGCCTTTGATTCGTCAAATACGGAAATTGCCCAAGAGAGTTAAGAAACTAATGGAGATGATTCCTTATCAAGAGGCATGTGCTTGAAATTCCCTTGCTTACTTTGTTTGCCCTCAGAACCTAGTATTCCATGCTACTTATTTGTTTAGGATTTTATTATATTTTTTGTTTCAGTTTACATGATTTAGTATTCTTCTTTTATTTTTTCTTTTTTTTTAGGTAAATGAGGAGGAAGCTTCTCTTTTTGACATGTCGTGGTTGCTGTTTGCAAGTGTCATATATGTGCCTATATTCCAAAAAATCCCTGGAGGTAACTGAATCTCATGATCTATTATTGTAGTAGTTAAATTGAAGCCTCATCTTTGACTTCTTTAGTGTCAGATGGTTGCAGCATGTGGCATGATTTCATGTTTGGATGTATAAGGTACATGCACTTCATGATTGTTCCTATATAGTATCAGATAAATTTGGAATGGTACATAGAGGATTAGCATGGCTCCTGCAGAAGGATGGCTTACAAATGCCACTATCTGAACTCTTTTATATCCAGGTTTTTCTACTTGGCATTTCATAGCTCATGTTTCATTATCCTTGTTTGTTATTGATTATGCTTTTGCAAACGTCTAGAAGTAGAACACTATAATTGTTAGGAGTACAATTTAATGGGTTTGATAACAACAATCATACTGTTCTTGGACTCAGCCATCATCTGCATGTATTTTCTGGCCATTTTCTTCTTCTAATATGTGTTTGGAGTTTTATTTGTTTCATTGATGATGTATGTTTTTTATCTGTTGCAATGTTTAGGCAGTCCTGTTCTTGGATATTTGACTGTTGTCATATTGATTGAACCTTATGGTCTCTCTATTATTCATCATGTACATGAAACAAAGGCGATAGCTGAATTTGAAGTTGTTTTCTTGATGTTTAATATTGGCCTGGAGGTAGAATCCATCAAACCCTGAAGTTAATTTCTCTAGACAGCTATTTGCCATGACATTTGACCTGCTAATAACACAAAGAAAAGCTAAGCATTTTGTCTTCATTTTGCAGCTTTCTGTTGAAAGACTGAGTTCTATGAAGAAATATGTTTTTGGTTTGGGCTCTGCTCAGGTGGTTGGAAAACTTGTTTTTCAAATATTATCACTTGTGTTTTACCACAAGCCAGCAGTTTTATGTGCATTGATGCATTTGTATCTTAGTTTTGTTTTTTGTAACGTGCACAACAAATGCAGGTCTTGGTGACTGCAGTGGTGGTTGGCTTAGTTTCTCGCTTTATTGCTGGTCAGCCCAGTCCTGCAGCAATTATCATTGGGGATGGCCTGGCATTATCTTCCACTGTTGTTGTCCTTCAAGTAACAGTTAATGAGCAGCTTTGTAAGTTCTCATGCTATCCCATTTTTAGTTCTTATGTCACTTTGTTCCATTAGGATCAAGTAGTCAGGACTCAAAATTTGTTGGTTGATATGCTTTTATTAGGCAGTTGAATAATTTTATAATATTTTATTTTATTTTTATTGTATTTTTTCTGCAGGTATTGCAGGAATGAGGTGAGAGCATGTCACGCCATGGACGAGCTACATTTTCTGTTTTGCTTTCCAGGTACCTGTGTGGTCTCAGAAATTATGTTGACCTTGGATGTCATGAAGTGAATGAATTGCTTTTGGTGGAATTTACAGTGTCTTATGATACTGTACAACTGTACTGTGCCATAATTATATGTCTTAAAGGTGAACATTTTGGAACTACATACACCTGTGTAATGTAGAACACAGTTCTGATCCAATGTTGCACCATTTCTGCTTTTAGGTGTCATAATCTAAGACATGCATTTAAGATGCTTGAATTAGCAGAAATAAAGATAATGCGTTAATAAGTTTAGTCTGTATTTGTTCCTTAATTATCATATGTGATCGCACCTTCATAGTTTTTTTTTGTCAGTTATATTATCTGATTTGATTGTGTTTGTCTCTTTTGAACTATTGTTTTTATTGGCTCCTTTTTGTTTTTTGTTTTTTTTGCCTTTTCCTCCAGGATTTGGCTGTTGTGGTTCTGCTGATACTCACACCTCTTATTTCACCGAATTCATCTAAAGGGGGCGGGGGGGTAAAAGTTCTTACTGATTCTTAAAATTTTAGGTTATCATACCACATGTATTGATGAACAGCCAACTACCACATCACCCTTTCTTCTGCAGTCTCTGTTAGGCATATGATGTTTAACTATATTTGTTTCCTACCTGGGAAAGTCGAATGAATAATTATTGAAGATTGTTTCACTTTTGAGCTTGTGTAGGATAGCTGCAACTGCTATTTTAGTTGTTTCTGCCAGTGCTATTGCTGCTTCTTCTTCTTTTTCTGTTGTTACTATGGGTAATTTTCCCGTCATTTTTAGGCTGGTTTCCAAGCAATTGTGGAACCTCTTGGATTAGCTGCTGTGAAGGCCATTGTTGCAATTACTGCCATAATTGCTGGAGGGCGCTTGGTGAGTTCTCTGTGTTGCTGAACATAAATATGATATCGTAAGTGATGAAACCACATTTTATGCCTGATGATGCAATTTATATCATTAACTTCTCAACAAGTATCCTTCTTTCAAGAAATTTTAATAAAGCATATCATCATGCATCATCAGTGTGTTGTATCAAAATAAAAATTATTGTCTACTTGAGTTTATGCATAACCATGGCGTAGCTTTTGACTGTGCACAAGCCAAGGATTTTCAGATTTCTTTTGCGTTTGTGAAATTCATGATATTAGTCATTCTTATGCTAATTTTCAGCCGCTTTGGCCGATTTATAAGCAAGTTGCAGAAAATCAAAATGCTGAAATATTCTCTGCAAATAGGCTCCTTGTTATTCTGGGGACTAGTCTCCTTACAGCTAGGGTATGCTGATGCTTCATTTTAATACATGGATGTATTGTTGTAGCACTAATCTCCATTGAGGTTTGGATAAATTACGTTGAATTTAGAAATTTGACATAATAATGTTAGGTTCTTTTAATATTTTAAGTTATAAAACTTTATTACATTTTTATTAATAATTTATTAAACGTATAAATTGAAAAATATTAATATATATATATATTAATATATATGAGGGGAAATTATAAAAAGGAAAATATCAAGCAAAATGGAAAGTAGAAAAAAAATAAATTATACATTCATGAAAACACAACACTCATTTGCACAATCTAGTGGGTAAATTACCTGTACTTTCATATGTTTGCAAGTATTTTTTTCAATTTCTCACCTTTTATATATATATTTATTTATTTATTTTTCCTTATAGAAAAAAACCTAAGAGTTTGACTGTAACAAAATAAATTTTTAATTTTTTCAATTTAAATCATAATTTTTAATTTAAACCATTTGTTTATTTTGTTAAGTAAAACTAATAGAAAAAAATAATATTTTAATCATTAAACTCAATGAAAAAAAATATTTTAGACATTTTATGTGCACTTTCATTGAGTTTAATGACTAAAATATATTTTGTCATCTATTTTATTTTTATTTAAGGAAAATAGGCTAATAGTTTAAATTGAAAATAAATAAAAGGATCAAAATTTAAATTGATAAAATTGAAAAATCATGGTTCATTTTGTTCCAAGAGTCAAACTCTGAATTTTTTTTTTTTGTTATTTTTTCACACTATTTACATCAGTTTAAGTTGCTTTAATCTCACTGAAAAAAAAAGTTAATATAATTATGTCAAACGTATAGAATATACTGTTTTTTTTCTAAATTATAATGTGGTTAGTGAAGTTTACCCTTTATTGTATTTTTTTCTAAATCATATGTCAAACTTGGTCTTTTTGCTCTCAATATTTCGTTCTAATAATGACACTGTCCATTATATTTTTGCATAATCAACTTTAATTTGGATGAAATGCTCCCAAAATATTTCTTTCCTATTCTATTTTGGGCCATTGGAAATCACAACGGTGAAAATGCACCTTAAAGTTCGAGGTAAGTTATTTTGTGACATGTTGGGATGATTAAATTTTTATATTAAATTTCATTTATTATCTAATTTATCGTTAATGGCCTTGTTTGGTATAGCTGTTAAAACAGATTAGGCCTATTTGGTAGAACTTATAAGCTGTTTATTTCAGTTTTTAACTTAATTTAAGCTAAAATATTGGGGTTTTTTTTTTAAGGTCAAGTTTGACGTGTTTGAAAAAAGATAAAAAGTCAAAAAGACACTATCATATTTAAGTCACATCATCTTATTTAAGTCACATCACCTCTCTAACACATCACTTCAAATCTAACCCAAACCCAACTCATATTTCATAAAAAGTCAAAAAGTGCACTTATTTAGATCATCCCAAACAACCCCTAAGATTTTATAGCATAAAGGACATCTAATATTTTCATAATGTCTAAGATCCCTCAAGTTGATCCAGAGAAAATTGGTCCAGAGAAAATTATTCTAGAGAAAATTCACGTCACAGAAAAATTGGTCCAGAGAAATTTTGAAAATTTCTCCAGACAACGTAGCAACCCTTTCTTCAAGCAACCTTTGCTCTGGCTGGAAATCCAGAGAAAGTTGGAAAAGAAGAGGTTGCGAAATTTCTCTGGGCAACATTGAGGACTAGTTCAATCCAAACTAAAGAATTTCTCTGGATCAACCCATAGAAATTTCAGTTCAAACCATAGAATTTCTCTGGACCAATCTAGAGAAAATTCAGTTTAAACCCGAGAATTTCTCTGGACCAACCCAGAGAAATTTCAGTTCAAACAAAAAAATTTCACTACACCAATCCAGAGAAATTTCAGTTCAAAACAGAGAGAGAAGATCATTTTATTGAGTGAATAAGCAACAATAGCAACCTATATACATATATATATTAAACAAATTTCTCTGTGTTTGTTTTTGTGAAATTTCACTGACTTGTCACCATTTCCTTGTGTGAAAACGCAAGGCATATCTTCCATTGACCCGCCTTGTTTTTCTAGAGCCTCGGGTCTCTTTGATGAACTCTCAATCTCGGCATTGGACTGACACGCATTTTCCTTTCCCTTTGTAGAAGAAGAACCTACAGCCTCTTGATTGCTTTGCCCGCCTCGCTCTTGCAATGACGGAATACTGGCAGGGCAGCAAGGGGACGAAGTCAGATCGGCGAAGCTCAGCCGTCGCCGTGAATCACCGTCGTCTCAGTTGCACCAAATCTGCACCAAATCTTTATCTACAACAAAATCTCCCGCAACTTTGCATTCGCCTCTTCCAGCAGCTCCAGTTGCCATCATCGTTTCTTTCTCTCTCTCTCTCCTCTGTATTCTCTCTCTCTCTCTCTCTCTCTCTTTATATATATATATATATATATCACTCACTCATCAGATTTGAGAGTGAGTGCTATAGTGTAATGGTAATCTCAAACACACACAGATCGATTGACTGTGTATTTTTTGTGTTTGATTTCGCATTTTGTTGAGGATCTGGGAGTGAAGAAAAAAAATGTTATTCCTCTCTCTCTAGGGTTTTAGAGAGAGAGAGAGAGAGAGGAAGTGCTGCTCTGCAGTAGAGGAGGAGAGGCAAAGAGTCAAATTTCTCTGATACATATTTAGGGACCTTAGACATCAAAAAATAATTTTGTGGATCTCTTCTATTACGAAAAGTGGGAGAGGGACCTTAGACTAATTTTTCCAAAATATTGTATTTGGTGCAACTTAAATTAACCAGCTTATAGCTTAAATCAAACTATTTCTCAACTTATCTCAAAACCTGGTCAGGATACTTAAATTTTCCACTTAAGCGCGCAGCTGGTGTAGGGGCTAAAATTATTTAAATGTCATTGTCAATACCCAAATATTAATATTAATTAATATTATTATAATTAAAAAAAGAAAAAATTGTATATTTATGAAGAAAAATAAAAAAAATCAATATTAATTTAAAAATAAATATTAATTGGTATTAATTATTAATAAATTCATATTGTATATTTTTACATTAATTAAAAAATAAAAAATTGTATATAATTTTCCAAGCTGTTTATAGGCAGCAATTACAAATGCTTGACAAATTGCAAATGAGAAAGAAAAAGCTTGACAAGAAGCTAAAGTACATTCATGCTTGGAGGAAGGTTTCAAGTATAATCTTCGTAGCTACATTTGCCACGGTGTTGATTTGCTCAGTCGTGGCAGCAGCCATGGCTGCCCCGCCTGTCGCTGCTGCTTTAAAAAAATTAAAACTGAAAAAAATGACAAAATAATCATTTTTATACCATATAAAGGTAGAAAGGACAATTATACAGTAAAAAGCTATTTTACAGCTTATTAACCAAACACTACTCTGCTGCTTAAATCCATAATCTCACAGTTACACCAAACAGATTAACAGCTTATGTTCACAGTTATAAGTCATAATTTGTTAAGTTATAATCTATAATCACTTTTTCACAGCTCTACCAAATGGGACCATTATAAATTATATAGTTTAACAGATTATACATTATGACTTTAATTAGAAGCTGTTAATCTGTTTGGTGTAGCTGGTGGATTATAGATTTAAGTTGCTGAGTAGTGTTTGTTAAATAAGCTGTAAAGTAACTTTTTCAATTAATTTTTATTTTTTGTTATTCACTACTTGTCTACATTTCTCATAAATAATAATAATAATAATAATAATAATAATAATAATAATTTATAATCCATTTGGATCTTTTTCTATTTTTAAAAAAATAAAAAATAAAAAAATCTAAGAGTATAACCATAAATTAACATGTTCACAGCAGAAACTGATAATCAGAAGTAAAGAGTGAGCAGCTTCTCAGAATCAGTTTTTTAAAGTTAAAATAAGTTGTTAGAATTAGAAACTGTTTGAAATAAATTTAACCAAATAATCCAAAATAACTCTTTTAAAATTAAAAATTATAAATTAGCTCAAAAAAACCTAAACAAATACTCCCATTGTATTAGTGTAATGGACCCACCTTGTGTGCGTTGGTATAATTCATGAGACATGTAAGATGCCAATGATAGTAAGCAAATTTGATATTAAAATTTGGCCAAAAGTGAAAAATGACTTGTAATGAGTTTTTATATTTTTTCTGATATTATGAACATTTTAAACTTTTAATTTCAATTTACTGGACTAGTTCTATTGACTAGAACTCCCACAGCTTATTGGCCCTGTTTAGTAGGATTTATTTCCAACTTATTTTAATTTTTAACTTAATTTAAGTTATTTTGATGTGTTTAGTTCAGCTTAACAATACAGCTTATAACTTTTTATAAGTTAAAAATTAACTTATTCTTTAGGTGGGGAGGAGAAGTTTAATTTATAAGTTAAAAATCAGCTTATGTTCATAATTATAAGTTATAATCACTTTCACACAGCTCTACCAAACGGGTCCATTATAGCAAGTG